TGGGATAGCTATTCAGACTTCCCTAATAACCTTGACATGCGAGTTAATGTTCCTCAAATGACTTGAAATGAAATTGTTCGAAAGCTCAAAAGTGTGCTGTGAAAAAGTGCTTCAGACTTGCATTTGCACAGTAACGCCTAAACGCCATTTTCTTCAAAACGGCTCCAAATTTTTCAATGAAAAGTTCTATATATAGCGAGGTTTTACTCTTCTTTAATATTCTTAAAGTAATATTTCGGTTCTACCATTAGAAAACTGAAGAATCGAGAAAATGGCAAAAAAATTTACTTTGTGCGGCGATAGATGGCAGCTGGCAAGAGGATGGGGAAAGACCGTAAAGCCAGTTCACAGCGAAGAAATTAGTAAACTTAACTACGAGAATGGCTGCGCCATTGAGTAGCACTGCTAGTTCTATCTCGAAAGATGGAGGTGTTCCTCCCCTCTGGGACGCTAGAAGAACCGCCGTGTAGGGAATTCCCTTCTTCTGATATAGACTCCCACCCTCTTAGATTAGCTAAGAGATAAGTAAAATTGTATCCAAAGGAAATGAGATAGTCTTAGAAAAATTTTATAATGCATATTTTTCTCCCAAGTACATTTTTAAAAATCAAATACTGTTTTAACACAAACTATGTATTAACTTACTGCACGGATCTTTGTAGTTTAATTAAATGGCACTGTATCACTTTTGCTCACTACATTAGCTAAATGCTAAAAAATATTCCAAATATTGGTATTATTCTTTTACATAGTTAACTATGGTGTTAGTGTGACCCGTCATGGCTCTACCGGTATGAGAATAATTTTCTTACCTCTAATATGTATTTACCTGCGACACAAACTCTGTTTAAGAAATTTTAAAATAATATTTTCGGCACGGCACGCAATAATATTTTCAGAGCGCCGTTGTGACTGGAAAATTTATATTGGGTCGTGGGACTGATGTCCATTCCTGTACAGGATGGGGAAAATGATATATCTCGTTATAGTAATAGGAGGGTAAATTATCTTTCTTTATCTATAAACCAAAAAGAGACAGACATTTTTAACTGAGTATTCAGTACCGTGTTTGGGGTTGTTTATTCGGCACCATTAACTTCGCCGTTACTACTTCCTCTGTGACGCTACCGTGAAAATCATTACACCAGAACAAAAAATAAAACCCTCTATACAATAACAAAAGAATCTAAATTAAACAATCACACTTAACAACAAAAAGTTTACATTCTTACCGTGATATTATCGTACATTATTCTATTTCATACCGTGCACATTATAATTTTGATGATCATGTACATTGTTTATGCTTTACTAAATTTACTACAATATTCGGTCTACTTATAATTTATTGCGTACGCGCGGGTAATATTTGCAGTATGTTTACTTCTCTGACTGCGATAGCATTGCCGTCGGCTCGCAAATCCGTTCCTTCCTCCATTGCGCCATAAAGTTCCATCAGCTGAGCTCACCATTCCATATTTCCACAAATCCTATGTGTTTCTACACGACCTCATGCTATTCGAGGACCCAATTAAATTTTAAAAAGTAGACAGTTTAAAAAAATTGTTTAAAGAAAATAAATGTAGAGGCTGCGAAATATTGGGAGAGTTTTTGAACAACTGTGTCGATGTATACTGCTAATTGCCTGTCCGCGCTCTGGTCGTAAGAGAAAATTCTGAAAACCGAAAACATCAAGCTTTTTAGCATACCTACGTGTAAGGATATTTAAGTATTGAAGATATTGTCAGTTACCTTGTCTGGGCGAAAAAAATTCTATATTCTTTCCGTTGATATCGATCTCGGTACTCTTCTGAGCAAGTGCCACAGTAAGCATTGCCTTCCGGGGAACACAATACCGCAGATGATCAGAATCACTACGAACTTTAGGTAGTAAGACGACCTTCAGTGTTGTCAATATGCGATATTACTTACGCTTTTAGGCTAGCAAGGAGATTTTCCGCGAGTCCGCTCTCAAACAATGCGATCTCGTCCCGACTTATGAGGAAAGAGTCGGATTCCTAAAAATTGTGACAAAGCGCGGTGTTCGTCTATGTAAGTTGGTCTTCATGTCTGGTCTGTAGCGCGCTCTCACGGCCATCTTTCAAAGCAGCTCGAAGAATTCCATGCGAGGAATGAATTCTCTTTCTCTATGTAAGGTAGTCTCTTTTTTTTGGAGAAACTCGAGCGCGCAACGTTTGAAATGTGTGCTCTTGGTGGTTCAAACCCGATCGAAGCCGTGGATTTTTAAGGGCGAAAAAATCCTTCATACGCCTTCTTCGGAGGGGAAGTAAAGCCGGCTGTCCCATGTTCGTAGATACTTGCATGTAAAAGATCCCGAAGCCTAAATGACGCCTCTGAGCTAAATCATATCGCCTGTTTCTCGCCCAAGAATACCTCTTTCTCTGCTATATGAAAGGAGCGTAGCGAAATTTGCGTGGTCAGACGGAAGAGCGGGCCTGATGGCCGAGTCTCGCCACGTAAAATAAGGCCAAGTCTCAATCAATTAATTAATTAATTCTCTTTGCTAGTACTTCGCCACAAAGACCTTTTTTTCAATGATTGTATACAAATGCCAGAGTCAAAACTATGCTAATGAAAAATGTAACATTATATTATTTTTAGATATGCGTTTCATAAACACATTTCTTCAAGGAAAATGTTTATCTTCATAATTGTAGTGGTAGGAATACGACAAAAATTGTTTGATTTTTTTTCAATTTTCGAAAAATCAGGATTTTAACGAACGCAACACCAGCACCATCCTCTTAAACGTTCTTCAGAGTATTCAACAAAATTTAATTAAAAACTTTGGAGTCTTTAAAAAAATGTTTAAACAAAACTTAAAATTGTGTATATTTCTGGAAAAAGTACGAATCTGGCAAAAATAATCAAAATCGAAAAATTATACATGAACTTATTTCAAAATCTATCTTCAAGGAACAGTATTAATCAGGAGAAAAAAAATCTCTATCAATAATTTTTTGTTGTAGGATGTAACCGAAAAAATTTAGCTTTGTAATTTTCGAAAAATCAGTGTTTTCAACGGAAATGAGACATACACGATTCCCTAGAAACGTACGTCACACTATTCAACGACAAAATTTAAAAACGTTGGAGACGTTTTTTCCAATTTGGGAAAGGTCCTAGAGATTTTATGTAAGGTACCCTTTGAATTAAAATATCGGTTTCAATTTCAAGGAACCTCGACATCAAGATCAATCGAGGAATATCAATTTTGGAGAAAAAAATGGCTGAACGGTTTATTCGCTAGCGTTGTTCACAGACAGACGTTTTGCCGCCAACAGATTTTCCGCTATCAAGGACTCATAAAATATGGATTCTGGCGACACCACGTGATAGAGGATTTTGTTTTTTAATTTAGCAACCTTTTTTCGTTACCGAAACCCTATAATAAGAGGTTTTGTACCGAAAATTTGCCGGTTTTCTCGCGCAGCACTACATGACATTCTATTGCGTAAACGGCTGCGAGAGCCAGCAGTAGCGAAAGTAAGCGGTAATAAAAATATTTTCTGTTATTTTTTAAATAGCATATAGCACGCAATAATGCTCGAAAACTTCTGAAATTACCAAAAAAATTTACATGACCATTATGGGAGAATGGACAACACATTTCATTTGAACGCAAAATATCCATCTTCAATTTTAGAGTTGTAAGAAGACTTCCAAATATTTTCAGACGTTTGGAATTTTCCATATTTCAGAGTTAACAGTGAAAATCAGACCTATACCACCTTTTTAAGTTAATTTTACTCAATTCTAAAAAAAGGAAAGAAATTGTAACACTATTTCAAAAAAATGGAAAATGTCGCACGTGAATCATTCAAAGTTCCAAAGTTTCAAAGTTTACATTGTTTTTCAAAACTGCAAAGTTTCGAGTCAAGCCAGTTTCACCGTGGCATACACGTTTTGGAAAATAATCCAACGTAGAGCACGTACTGTTCACAAACAGAATTGACGGGTGGAGCGACTGACGGACAGACGTTGTGAAGAAAAAAACGATAATTTTTCGGTGTCTGGGGACTCCAAAACGGGTATTTCCGAAGAAATATTGGAATCGTTTTTCTGTAGCACTACTTCACTGCCTCTACACAACGTATATTACTCTGCATATTCGTTCTGTGACACATCAGTAGATGTCTGGCTGATCTCACAGAGCGTTATATGCAGTCAGGGAACCTCGGGCAAGTGACACTACGTTATATACATTCATGAAGTTCCCCAAATTTGACAGAAGACTTTAAAATTCCCGAAACTGGACGTGACGGATCGGGAGGGGATCTACAAAGAGTGATTCAAGACTCGGGGATGCCCACTGACCAAGTCCGTCACCTCGCACATGACTAAATTGACGAATCACGTCTGCACAATCGAATACCGATTTGACTGGTCAGACAGAACACGTGTCGAGGGTGAGAAGACAAGTGCAGGTGAAGATCGGCGAGACAGACTGCAAGAGGTTTGGAGACTAACGGAGGAGTGAGATGTGGCTGGGAGATATTGGGAGACTCTCGAAGGAGTAAGATGTGAGAGGAAATTCGTGCGTCACACATGCGTCTCTGGGTGGAGAGGCGCATGTGACAAAATACGTGAAAGACGTGACAATGTCCAGGGAACTAAACCAGCAAAATGTTATTGAAATTTTGGTGGTTTGGCAGCGAGCTACAATACGGACTAACATATGCATAAGATATTTAAAGAGCATATGCAATAGATATTTAAAGAAAATAAATTTTTGTAATTTTTGAAAAACAAACGAATACATGAACATTAATTTATCTTCTTGAACTGTGTAATTAGCACTATCTGTTCGAAAACTTTGAAGAAAATGTATGGAGCCGTTTTTGAAAAAATGGACTTTAAACCTTTCTGGAAATGCAGAATTTTGAGCTCGTTTTCACATAAAACTTTTGAGTTTTCTAAAAATAACGTTAAAGGGCATGTGGTTCTGGAAGCTCCGAGGCCGCCGGCGCAACACGTACCCACTGAAGGGCTACGATGCCCACGGGCAGGCGGTCCGAGTAGTGGTCCACGATGTGCTCCGCCAGGTTCTTTGTGAATGTGTACGTGTTGCAGTGAGGGCCCAGAATCCTGTAATAATAAAAAAACACCGTGCTTTAGATAGCGTACATATAGAATCAAGGAAGTCTTAATATTAATTTTAGAGGTTAATAAAATTAGTCATATTTCATTATTTATTTCATGAAAGTTACAAAACGAAATTCCAATACATATATAATATAAAAATATTTAACAGACACGTTCAAAAACTTTAGATTTTATTTTTTTCATGTAAACTGTCTTGGCACAGGCGGACAAATTTATTCAAATTTGGCGCCAAGTTTGGAATTCATACATTTTGACCATTATTTTAGGCTATTTAAAAAGAAAAGATCATAAATTTCAAACGACGCGCCTTCTAGACAGTATTAATTTGCTTTAGCAATCCGCGAATTTTCTTTCACAAAGAACAAGAATTCACTTGGAATGACACACACTTTGAACTGTTTCCAAAAGCGACCGGTAGATTTCACCACCTTTTGAGCTGCCGGCGAAGAAGCTTTGCACATTGTAATTTCCCGGAATTCGCTTTTTTACATAAGATGCGACTATATTGCTCTACTGGGGAATCTGAGTAGCAATCCACGAGTTTCGTAGCAATCCGCCTCACTCGTGAAGAAAAACCCACATTTTTACTATAATACTCTGGAGTAATAATAAAACGATTTTCAGTGTAAACAAACTACAGACTTAATTTTAAAGAACTGTTAACAAAATATAAGCCCAAATACGCGGCTCAAGTCCTAGCTCAACTAGCCAAAGGAGAGCTAAACACAATGTGGCTATAGTGGAGCTATATGTATGTTAAAAAGCAAAACAAGGGACCATCTCAGTATTTGCTCACTAAATCAAAGGTAACTAGACAAAAAACGATAAAAAGAAATGTCATGTACCAATTAGTTGAAATACAATGCAGCAATCCTAAATATTCACAAAAGTACCCAAAAACCGTCATGAATGTTGAGTATCTTTCAATGAAGAAAGATGGCTTAGGTTCCTCAATATCGAAAAACTTTTAAAAGAATATCTGAAAACCATTGCAGTAAAACTCAGAAATTACTACAAAGAGAAATCACAATTAGCATTCCACAGAGAAATAATAAAACAATATTTAAAATTTTTCAAAGGTAAAAGTGATTAGATACAAGATTTGATAATTTTTTGTTTCATATCGTCCTCGTTGTTCTAATATCAAAATATGGAAGCATTGCTGCTTCTATTTTTATCTTCAATTTCGAAGTTATTTCCATGTTAGGATCACGCTCGGATACCTTCTACCTATTTGTTGGAGTTTTAGGGCGCCATTAACAGTTTTGACGTTGAAGTTGCTCCAGGACACAGTTTCACTTTAATTACTTTATCGTTACGTTCGAGGTTTTTTCTTCGCATATAAATTCCCGAAGATCCACTTCAGTGAGGTCATTACAATGAGAGTTGCTCTGCTCCTGAATGGCTCTTCTGTTCGTGTGGTCAAAACCCTTGCCTCCAATATGACGCAACTGAAATTAAATATTTTACAGTTCTGTGATTTTATTAATGTGAATTGACATTTCCTCTGTGGCATATTTGCAGTTTGTGTTATGTTGAGCTCCAGTGTCTGCCGAGTTTGTTTCCGAGATGAGGCTAGAAATAGTTATTTGCCATATTAGTGTTGTAAAATATCTGATTACAATAGCAAATTGAAAAATTACCAAACGAGGTCGTTAGAACGAGTTTGTAACCAATTGAGTATTGTAATCAGATGTTACGACACGAATATCGTACATCGTACGACTTGTTCAAATTTGTTAGATTTATTTGAAATTTCCTGATATGTCTTCAATTAATATTCATATTTTTTCTCATATTAGTGGCGACACTGTTCTCAACAAGGAGAACAATTGAAACACACTTGATGTATACTTCTCGACGTAAGGGAAAATATTCCTGATTTAGAAAAATAAATAGCAGCAACGGCTAGTTTAGAAACATTGTTACACATCATCTCAAGAAAGAAATATGAGCGTGAGTATTTAATTTTTAAAGATTGGTGTGGGAGAAAAAATTCAATCCATATCGGAAAAAGTTTTGATTGCTAACTTTTGCAAGTCAGGCAAAGTTGGCAAGTCAGAGAAAGAGAAACCAAGTAGTCTTTGGTGCCACTACTCTATGTTGAAGAGTACAATATCACTTAATGACATTGATATCAAATGTAAACGTCTGCGTTCTCGTCTGGAGTTCAAGTGATCTTGGCTGTCAGGGAGATGCCGCGTCGTTTGCCGACGTTTCGTCTGCCATGTCGAGGGTATTTTATACTGGACTGACAAGAAAACATTGATATCAGTAAGTTTACTCACTTATTAGCGTTTATATAGGAGAAAACGTAGAATAAGAGACAAAGAAGTCCAACATATTTTCAAAAGAAGAGTGAAAAAAGTACGGCATTACTTTACTGCATTAGAGTGGTAATGAAATACATTGCCACATTAGAGCGGTAAAGTACTTCACAACTAAAATTGATTATAATAGCATAATGTTTCGCTCTACATTAAGTGGATAAATAAAATGAAATGAGCTCGCTTTCAAAAGATGAAGTACAAACAAAAGACACACTCGCGTACGTTGAAGTCACAAATGCCTAAATCAGTAGCTTTTATCCCTGATGTTCGGAACTCGCGAATAGCGATAACGCGGACGTCGAGGGATTATCTGTTATGGTTATATTTAGTCTTTTAGCGTTATACAATCTTTAAATAATTAATTATACTTCATTCTGTAAAATTAATATTACTTTACTTTTTGGTAGGCAGTATGGTCTCTAATTGTGTGAAAACAGTTCTGTAGCCGACATTATTTATAAATATTTTGTGTGAATACATTGTATTAAGATGTTGATACTGGCATCTAAATAGTGTGATTCATACGATGTGTGTTGTACTTATAATGATCTGTAATGAATAAAAATATTACTGAATGGCAAATAAAAAGACTAGGCAATTGGAGGACCCGAGGCAATGAAGAAAGTTTTAATGGAATCAAGAGGATGGTATTTTCTTTGTTCTTCTTCTTTTTCTTCTCATTATTATTGTTATTATTATTTATTATATTAGTATTACGTTATTGTTTTATGATTGTATTATTGTTTTTAATTTTTTATTCAGTATTTATATTTTTGCAAAGTGCATCAGATCACTTTTAAAGGAATAAATTATTATTGTTATATTTTTCTTGTTAAAATTACAACACACCGTGGAACTCTCATTCATCAGATGTCAGGATTAAGAGCTCACAAAATCCACATATAAAACTTGTACGTTATTTTACAATACATTGCAAGATGACATGAGAAACTTAAATTTATACACAATTTTAAGTTAAAAGTAAAATATTTTCTGTTTTATAACTTGTTTCCATAAATTAGAGACTATACTGACCTACAAAAGAAAAATATTGATATGCGAAACATTAGTTTACATGTCCATTGCATAATTTACAAAAATATACCTGTAACAAGAAAATGTAAATCAACTTCAGGTCAAACTCCCATGTAGATCAAGATTCCGTTTCATTGAGTGAAATTTGAGGTGGCCTCTTTGGTTTGCTTCTGGACATAAATGTAGCTTCAATATGCGCACATTATGTATAGCTCTTCTTTTGTTAGTAGTGGAAGGAGTAGAAATGCAGATGTAGCTTACAATTTTGTTAGAAATACTGAAAACTCAAATCTGTAGTTCGTTTATCGATACAAATACGTTTTATATAACTTGGGGGAGGGGCGAAAAAGTATATTTTCAAACGTTAGTAACCTCGCTTAGTTGTTACTTTTATTCACCACTCAATTACGTGGTTTAAATGGAGAAAGAGATTCCAGAGCGCAAGAAAACAATCACAAATTCTACTGGGAAATTCTCAGGAAAGTGAAACCAAGATACGAAATTTCATATTAGACCAAAAATTGTTTTTGTTGTCTTCATTGTATAGAACACGAGTTAAATTAATATTTTTACCTTTTTAAACTTAGTTATTAACCAAAATTGCTAAGTTCAAACCGATAGCACACAATCCAAAAATATTACAAATCTACAAAGAAACAATTGGGAACTGAAGATTTATTTTGTCAGGCACGTGATTTTTACGTGCGGGTAACTTCACAGAAAATAATGTGTCGTGCGTCACAAACAAAACAAATAATAACAAATTTAATTCTATAAAATAATGACTGTTGTTAAGTGTATTGGCATAAACTATAAATATACTTACTTTTTTTATTCCAAAATTTTTAAGAATCTTTTATAATTCACAGAAAAAATAAATATGTTTAACGAATGTGTAAATTAGTGATTTCTTTGAGTCCCGTGTTCACAAGATATTTCTTGTTATTTTTTATGTAATAAATGTGGTTACATTTTTTAATCTGTCTTTTTTTTATTAACTCTTGAATTGTAAAGCACTAAAAAATTATGGGAAGGAGCTATCATCAAATCTAATAAAATTACATTGGAATAAATGTCTATTAATGTCCCGTGTATCACAGAGAATTTCCCTACTTCTTCCCCACACGTCGCATACGGTTGACATACTTTGACAAAATAAAAATAAAAACACAAAATTATTATTATTATTATTATTATTATTATTATTATTATTATTATTATTATTATTATTATTACTATTAGCAAAATACCCGTCGTTGCCCGGAATTTTTTCATATCCAATTCTTGTGAAAGACGTAAAAATGAATATTATATAAACCATTGCGTCTAAGATTATTATTTTTAATTACATTTGTATTGTTAATATTACTTATTAATGTAAGTTTTAATAAAATGCTATAATTTTATGGTGGAATTTATTAGAAATCATTTACTAGGAATACATATCATTATATAGCTGCCCCATTATACATATCATTGTATAGCAGCTCAGCCTGTTTGTTGGAATAGTTAGGGATGCGTGCTCATGCAGCTAGCGATCCTGGTGATCAAAAGTAAAACATCTGAAAATAGCTGATCATCGCCATTTTCAATTCACGCGCACGACCGTGAAGTAAATGGCATTGATTGTAATATGATATATCAGCCTTAAATTCGAATCATACTAAATTAATTATCTCTTATAATCACTCTCACACTTACAACTTAATAATTCATTAATAACAGGCAAAAAAAATCGACAATTTTTGAAACTACTTTGCAATCCCTTACTACTTTCCTTTCCTTATCTACGTCTTAATTTGATAATGAAATTTTAATTGAAATAATTATAATTAAACGAGTTATGACATTTTTACTAGTAAGTCAGAATAATTACTAAATTGTAGGAAAAACTCTTTTAAAGAAATATTAAATCTAATAACACTGAAACATACTACTCGTTGCAAATGGCAGATAACTCGTCACCTCCAAAATAAAAAATAACTAAACAGATTAACTAGCTCAGTCAAAAATAAATTAGATCATTATACATTCGCCAAATTTAAATATTATTTATCCCATCTTCAACCTCACTCTAATCCTTCTTGGTCTGCTGTTAAACGAATAACGAATGAAAAGTCCCAAACAGGAACGTTAAAAATACTAATTCTACTGCAATCACAGATGCAGAAAAAGCTGACTTTTTGCAAAACAATTTCAATTGTTTTTTTACTAACAATTCTAAAACTAAAATTTCGCCACTAGCATTCGTGCAGAGTGTATTAAGTATTCTTCAAAACACTTTCTACACCGTATCTGGACGTATTAAAGTTATTTCCTCCTCCAAAATAAAATGTATTATTGCTAAAATCAAATATAAGAAAAAAATCTCCTGGTAAGGATCAATTGATTTAATCAGCGAATCACTTGCCTCTTTGTCGATGCTCTCGTGGCTCAATGGCGAAGTCGCTTGCCCTTCTCAGGTTCCGAGTCTCGTAGTGTCCTCATGTGAAATTTGTTACGACAAAACGAGTTTCTAGGTGAACTAGTTCACCTCCTATGAGTTGCGTAAACATACCTCTATTCTTATTATTTCCCGATTTTGGTAGCCTGTAGTGTCGCAGGTGCGCTTAAGATGCCCGTACGTGGAGATGCTAATCTGGCGACATACATGGTGCAATAATACACAGACGCAAGTGAGTTTACTTATTGCTAGTTTATTAATGAATCGACCACCGAAATAACCTTTATCTACAATAGTTACAGGAACGAAAAAATCGACCTTACTACTAGACGTAATTTTCATTCTACGGCTACCACAATCTGTACTTAAATATCCAATAGATCCGATCGTGTAAAGCACGACAGAATTTCTGCACGACTCGTCACATGAGTCTAACTACATCACGACAAAGTTCATTGCCGGCCCCAGCCTGCGCGCACGCGGTCCGAACCCCACCCGGCGCGCTGCCTCCGATCCGCACAGCGCGAGAAAAGAGACCGGTCAAGCGTCGCAGCCGCCCAGCTGGGCTGGCTGCGTCCACAAACACTTCACTGGGGTTTTACGGTACGTCACATCCTGACGCCCCGCCCTTAACCCAAGTGGTCAGCCACGCGGCGAGACGTCCACTTGCATCTATGTTTGTGGACGACGCTACACTTGGCGGCCCTCTCGACAAATGACTGGGACGAGACGTTACGAGACTATGTCCGTAATTATTGAAGGAGTTAATATATACGTTAGCGGCAATTTGTTCAGATTATTTTATTAATGAGTACATGTGCATTAAACAATGTACAATATTTCTCGAAAACTCAAATCTTTTCTGTGAAAATCAATTTAAATTTCTGCATTTTTAGAAAGACTCAAACGCCATTTTCTTAAAACGGTTTCAAAATATTTTCCAAGCTTTTTGTACGGATAATGCCGAATATACTGTTTAAAGTTACACAAAAGCCATTTTGCTGAGAACTTTTATTTCTTCAATTATTACAAAAAGTGTAATATTTTCGAAAAAATTTCGCGCTGTTAATATGCACTTTTCCCGCGATTTATTAACATTTTTGCAATTGTGAGTGGACGTACTTCAAATGACACCCAATGAAGTTTTACAATAATTCCTCCCAGGTTTAAACTAGTAATGCTACAGAATGGCACAGACTCTCATACTTCTTAGTTTTCTTATTTCTTTGTTTTTTTTATTTTTTTTTATTATTTTTTTTTGTTCTCACCACAATCTTGCCAGCCACCGTCTACAGCCTCCAAAAGTTCATATAGTATATTCCAAAAGTTTCAGAGTTATTGGGTTTTCTAAAACGAGAACTCAAATGCTACTTAAAGAAGAGTAAAACCAATGAACATTGTGAACATTTCTGTTGAAAAATTTTGAGCCGTTTTTGAAAAAAAAAATGTTTAAGAGTTTCTGTAAATGCGAAATATGAAACACCCATTCTTTTGAGATTTTGAAAAACGATTACTGGAAGTAATTTGACGCACGTCCACCCACAAATGTAGCCATGTTCACAAATCTCTTGAAATGTGCACATTAAAGGCTTGGTATTTAAAAAAAATACCTTTTTGTGATTTTTGAAAAACAAAAGAATAAAAATTTTTTACGACATCTTTTAAAGTGCAATGAGCATTAACCGTACAAAAACTTGAAAAAAATCGGATTCGTTGTTGAGAAATTGGCCTTTAAATATTTCTGAAAACGCTGAAATTTAATCTCCTTTTCACAGAAAACGTTTCAGTTTTTTGAGAAACTTTGGAACACTACAGTTTTCGTAGAGACTGGTTTTGGTAAAATATTTAAATAATTGCAACCGTGTTCGAGAATTGTATATTGATTGTTGTTGAGCATTGCATGTAGTACGTTTTGGAAGACCGTTTTGTGTGGTTTCGTTCAGCGTAATTGTTTCTCCAAATCGGTCTCTACTTAGTCCTAGAGAAAGAGCCAATCGTGTGCTTGAGGGCTGTGCTCACTTGGTGGTGAGCGCGCGCAGGGCCGACGGGTCGCTCTGGCCCTGTGCCTCCACCAGCGCCAGGATGGAGCGCCAGTCGCCCGCCGCCGGGTACAGCTTCTCCTCGAACTCGCACTGCCTCTCGTTGCAGAAGGTGGTCGACACGTGCACGAACGCCTGCGACACATGATTAATTGATTAGCGATTCCGCAGACGACAACTGCTAAGGGGATTAGTCCCGCAAGTGCAGAGCATGTTTTTTTATGGAGGGAGGTGTCAGCGAACTTCGTCTGATGGATGGCGAGATCCGGCGCCTAACTTTACGTTGGCTAGTGAGGTTTTCCCCAACCATGTATCTCCCATCTGCAAGGCACACCCCAGTCGAGCTAAGTTCTAAGTTACCCACAAGTGTGGCAGTGAAGGGTGTATAAGAGGATGTGTAAGACTTTAGAATAAGGAAGAAGAAGGAATGATCGCGTGGAGTCCGTGGCCCATTTGTTAGGGTACTGCTCCAGCATTCTCTTGATGTTGGTCGATTTACTACCGATCGGAGCAACCGATTTAGAATTTACCTTCAAACAGCGTCTGAATTCGATCTGTCTATGAAGCTAATGTCGAAAATATTGCCACCGTCCGGATTCGAACACTAAGACCCGTCAGTCTAGTGGCCTGGGTCACAGCACGCCGCCCCCTCTATTGCACACGCGATGCATCACGTCGAACATGATAACTAAATCTTATTTTTGGATGTGTTTTCATTTTAGCATGTTCTTGGTGGTGTGCTCAGAGAAACGACGTCTGAAGCAATAGATCCCAGGATATTCTTTATTTCAAACTTCACTTTCACCACGTTCATACAGCAAAAAGATTCCTTTCACCGTGCAATAAAATAACAGTAGAGACTTATTTAAAGAGCTGAAAGTTTGGTACACACTTTGTCTAAGGCAAAAATCTTTATAAACAATATTGTAGAGTTCACCGAAAATTGGTCTAGCGCCATAGTTTGACCGTTCTTTATTACTAGCGAGGAGAAAATTTCAAGAAAAAATTGCTGTGTTTTAGAGAAAAAATTGTTTAAAAATTTTAACATTGTTTATATTTCTCGCAAACGTAAACGAAAACTACACATAGTATCGAAGAATTGTGTATGACCATATTTGAAAATGTCTTTAAGAAACAGATTTCATTAAAAATTATCTTCGATATTATAATTGTTGGAAGACATCCAAACGATTGTAAAAATCTGAGATATCAACGAACATGAGAATGGCACCATTTTCATCCGAGGAGAAAGTTTATTCAAAACATTTGTTGCCAATTTTGAGAACATTTTGAAAATATTTCCGTGCCTTCATATAAAGTACCCTAAAAATCAAAATATCCTGTTGAAACTCCCAAAGCCTACAGTTCTTTCGGATGGATCAGGGAATATCAATTTTGGAGAAAATCGGTTAAACGGTTTAGGGGCTAGCATTGACCACAGATGGACATGTTTTGCCGACACTAGAGTTTACGGTGTGAAGAACCCACAAAACATGGATTCTGGCGACACCAGGTGTTACGATAGAAACTTACTATAAGTAGGAATATAATTTATCCATTTTTTCGTTACCAGTGCACAGCAATAACAGTTCATATGAAATTTCAGGTAAAATTCCGTTTTTTAAGCACGATTAAAAAACTTTTTCTTTCTAAGTGGTAGAAATTAAAAATCTATATATTCAATATTGTAGGTAAGCAGGAAGTCGTCGAAAAGTATTGGAACTTATGCAATTTTTTGAACATTCGAAAGATCGCCAAAATGAGACCTGTGCCACACCGTTTCGTTAAGCGTACTTAGCAATGCGATAGAAAAAATATGGAGACATTTTTGAGACCTCTGAAGGTGTTGCTAAGGCTTAATGATTTATAACATTCATCAATTTCCAATTCTAATTATTAGGACCGTTCTGGAACTGTGATCGGGGAATGCCAATTTGGGGGAAATCATCTGAACGGTTTAGGTGCTTTGTGAAGACCACAGACAGGCCGATAAACGGTCGGATGGGCAGACAAACTCACAGAGTTATATCAATTTGCAGTATCATGGACACCAAAACGTGGATTCCGACTATATTACTTGTTATAGGAATAAGAATTATGCACTGTTTTGATATCAGGGACTCAAAATGCTAGTTTTTTCTGAAGAAAAAAATCTCCACACTGAGCTGCATCATTGCAATACTTTCCTTTACGGGTGCAGCTAAGAGCGTTCACTCTTCGTGAGCGGAATGAGCGGTGGGCGTACCTTGAGCTTGGACATGCGCGTGGCGAGCTCCAGCAGTTCGCGCGTGGCGCACGCGTTGGTGCGCACGGCCGTGATGAGCGGGTCGTCGAAGCGCACGCTGGCCGCCAGGTGGAACACCACGGACACGCGCTCCGCCAGCACGAGCGCGTCCGCCTCCGCCAGCGCCAGGCTGGGCTGCGCCGAGTCGCCCTCCACCGCCTGCAGGCGTCCCAACGCCTCCGGCCGCTGCGCGCGCACCCGGTCGAACAGCTGCGCAACACCCACACAGCGCGCGTCAGCCACTCGGACCCACCCGGTGGCTGCTGGCAGAGCATTTACTCCTATCGCCAAGAGCGGAAAAGGGCGTTTCCTGGATAAAGCACATACAATTTTTGTCTTTGGAAGTTTTGTATATACGGAGACACTAGTTAAAATCCCTTGGGAGCGGCCAGCGGGGCGCAGACGTCCGCCCAGCATTTCGAGCGCAGCGAGGCACTAGGCAGTATGAGAGTTGTGGGAAAGAGCCGCCAGGTAGCAGGTAAGTCGCGGTGGCCGGGCGAGAAGCAGATGGGAACGTGAAGCGGACATTGAGGAGAGTCGCCCCTTTTGCTACTTGGCCAAGAAAGTTAAGAGAAGAAGGTCAACACTTGCTCGCTTTAAAATTATAAAACCGCGTGCCCTCCAGTGCGGGCAATGAGAGTACAATCGTGTTCAGTTAGTGCAAGTAGTAGTGCGACTTTGTGGCCCGGACAGTAATGACGAACTGTGCTAAGTTACATGTAATTTCTCAAGAGGCTTGGTTGGACTTTGCGGTGAATTGGGACATCTTCTGGAAGGACGGTATTTTGGCTTGTACCTGGTGTGTCTCTGATTTCGGTTGTTGGAAAATAAAAACAGGAGTTATCTGTACGGACTGTTGTGCTATCACCCCTGATTACTCGTGAATACACAACAGTTTTAAGTGGTGATGTGTGTGAAGCAGAAGCCGTGGAAGAGATTCTAAGACACAACAAGGCGTTACAGCAAAAGCAAGAACAAAAACAGTTTCCGCAGCACCAGGATCAGGTGTTGCTCGAGTCACTAAAATCGTTGTTAAGCTCGCAGTAAGAGCGGCGGCTAAAACATCGCATTCGGCGCCCAATTTTCCAAAATTTGAACTGGATAAAGAGGTATGGACTTCATTTTTTAACATTTCTTAGTGGTAAATTCAAACACCGGTTCTATTATTAAAAAAGACGTTTAATTTAGTTCTTAATGATACACTAAAATACTTGATTTTTTTAAGGTAGGTTGCATAGTCCTTGTGATCTTCACTTAGTTATTTTCTTACACACGACTCGCTTCTCTTGATACACTGATTTATTTACACTGATCACTTCTTTCACACAGTCCGATGCATCTGCCCCCGTCCGATCATCTGACCACAATTCACTGCGCTGGCTAAAGTTGACGGCTTTGATCACAGTCCTCTGCACTGCTGTTCAATGACTGTACCGCTGTTCACCGCAATGCACAGTTCCAGCTCAGCTCCCACTTCAGAACAATGAATCTATACCTGGTTGGTGCCCGCCTGGACCTTTCCGGATCCGTGTTCTGTCATACATCTACGCGACTCGAAAATAATCCGGAACCGTCCAGTTTGGGGGCGCCGGCAAGTGATGCAATATTCGCTACATTGCTACATTGCCCCCTCCTTAAATGCGATCCCGGAGCGAGTTTAGTCAAATCATGCAGATATTTGGCGCTGGAGCCAAATTGGAGTTGGAGGTTTAGAAGTGACATTCGACAAGAATAACAATTCAATTTGCCTTATTTTACGTGGCGAGACTCGGGCCATCAGGCCCGCTCTTCCAACTCACCACGCAAATTTCGTCACGCTCTTCAACTAGCAGAGAAAGGAGGTATTTCTTCGGCAAGAAACAGGCGATTTTGAATTTAGCTCAGAGAATTTAGGCTTGAAAATCTTTTACATGCAAGTAAATCCACTAACATGGAACAGCCGCCTTTACTTACCCTCCGAACAAACGCTTATGGAGGATTTTTCGCCCTAAAAATCCACGGTTTCCATCGGGTTTGAACCCGCGAGCTTGGATATAACAGTCCGGTACGCACACCGTCACACAATCGTCGCCGCACATGTTCCGTTCCGCTCCGTTCCGTTCCCTTCAGTTCAGTTCAGTTCCGTTCCGTTCCCTTCAGTTCATGTCCGTTCCGTTCCCTTCAGTTCAGTTTCCTTCCCTTCCCTTCCCTTCCGTTCCCTTCCCTTCCGTTCCCTTCCCTTCCCTTCCCTTCCATTCCCTTCCATTCCCTTCCGTTCCATTCCCTTCCGTTCCATTCCTTCCGTTCCGTTCAGTTCCGTTCAGTGTCGTTCAGTTCAGTGTCGTTCAGTTCAGTGTCGTTCAGTGTCGT